GAGCAATTGAGGCATTAAACATATGAGCAATGGGCTCAGCTATCACAGCTGCCGATGCTTTGATTAGTCGCGGCGGTATCATGTCGTGACCACTCGACTTGCTCACATTAACTTCTTTAAGCAATTTTTCAACCTGCACACAGTTGGTACAGTGAAAATCAAAAGAAAGTGGCGTATTGATGTCCCTATAATGTGTTCATGAATGGCCAAAATACTAGGATGATTTTCGAAGTCCTGTCCATAGTCACTGTCATTTATCCGTGCAACACTGTTAGCGACTTGAATAAAATGATTATTAAAAAGCTCTGCAACGGTATTCTTCTCAGTGATGACATTATTTTCTTCAAGGATAATATCATTAGCCTGCTTTGTTTTACCATGTAGGAATGGGCGTCGACGTGTCATGCATCGTGTCACGCATTGAAAAAATCGTTTCTATTGAGGTCGATATTGTGGTAGAAAACAAATCGACAGTGGTTTAGCTTGGTCTGTACTGCGAGGCGCAGCCACTGTGATCATGAATACCGTTGTCGATAACAGTACAGACCACGCTAAACCACTGTCGATTTGTTCAGTTTCCTCTCTAAGTCGGGTAGGAATTCAAAACTATCACTAGTTCAATCTAGATCAGAATTTTCACTCCCTTCTTGTTTTAGTTTGAAATAACCGTTTTGAAACCGTTCAGCTGGCTTCTTTTCCTGAGAATCCTTTTCAAAACAGCTCATTTCCAACCGATCCAGACGGTGAAATTCCACACTATACGTCGACGAAAACAGCGCAAAAAGCACAAAAGTCAACCATTCACTGATATCATTTATAAAGAACATGGTGTCTTCTTCATCCTTCAAGTTAGAATATCTCTGTTTCTCAGAATTGGCGGCTCCTTTCAAAAGCCGTGCTGCAAGCCACACGTCCATAGACACGTGCATGAGACCGCTCATGCACAGAAGAATCGATGTTGCAAGGCGCAGCGCGAAAAGCTTGACGGTATTTGTTTGCGGTTTAATGAGGTAGTAGGTGATAATGGTTTGAAGTGAACAATACTTTATTCCACAAACTCCAACCAAAGTTCGACCAATGTAGTGTATAATACCAGGGACTTTGGTATGTTCCTAAGAAAAATAAAAAAAATCAGTGAGATTTTTTCTGTGACACAAACAGTCGAAACTCATTTTGCACGATGTTTCCCAAGCTTCGATCCTTCTACAATCAAATTCCTACTAACTTCTTTTAAAAATGCATATTGGTGGAATGACATTATAGCATCCCTCAAAAAAGGGGGTAAGTTTCTAAAGAGCTGTGGTGCTGCGTCGGTGGCGGTAGTAGAGGTTTTAATAACTGAGTAGATAATGGATTTAAAAGCTAACGTTTCGAGCGTTAGCCCTTCGTCAGAGCGAATTGCCAACCGAAGTAATCTGCTCCTATTTTCTGATATACGGCATTGAGTACCTCAACTCTTTTGACACTCACTGTAGTTTATGAGAGTTTTGAGAGAGAGAGAGCAGCATCATTAGATGCTTAATCAAGTTTTATCCGACGCAACCAGTTGGTGAAGAAATACCACCAACTTACGCCCCATCGAGCTACCCAAAGTTCATACCCATGCACAACTTGATTACGCCTTCCCAGGCGTTCGATGAGTGATTTAGGCGTGAAATTGGCGTATAGCGTAAAAAGAGATACGCTCTAGACCTCGAATTAAAATATGGTTTCCCTTGATCGGTAAGTTGTACATGCGATCAGAAGACTTACCTGATAGTTTGGTAGTCGAAAATTGCTCACCAGCGAAATTCCAAGCATACTTACGAGTCCGATAGAAACAGAAGCCGATCTTAAACGGTTGAATCGATCTCTAAACTCTCGTGCAAGGCCTTGAATAGCCAGATCCAGTTGTAAATAACGTACGACTATCGAGAAAATTCCAACTAGAGCTAACAGATGCAAAACTTCGCAGAAAATTGAGTGCACCATGGAATAACTAGTTTTAAGCACAGCCTCTCGAGTCTGGCTTGCATTGGCCATTAAACGTGACATTAAAACGGAGAGAATTAATAGAAGCGACCAGAATACGGGAAGATAAGGGAGACATCGTGAAATAGTGGCCATGATAGATCAACGGAAAAAGCTCGTTGCAAACTTCAAAAAACATCCACTAACAAGAAGCTTAAACTTGAAAAAGCTGTAAGAGTTAGTTTAAAAAAAAAAAAAAACCCTTGGGAATATTATTATTAAAAAGATGAGTTGTAGATTTTTAAACAAGGCTTTTTATGCTCTATGAACAAAGCCAGGATTTTAATAATAAACAATAGTTTAGCTCTCAAGGGAGAGTGTTTAACCGCTGCAAAGGAATTAAATCCGTCTGAGAGTAGAAGTAAAAGTAAACATTTTTCTTTTCTTTGACATCTATGCGGTTCTTGAGTGTGTTTGAAATTCGACACTAAGATTTTTCCCGCTGTTTGCTCCGTAGAAGCAGAGGGAATCTTGCAAATACAGTTGTAAGGTGTGTGTTATAAAATATATTTTACAACGTTTTCCTAAGGACACCGGAGTATGTGATTCGTGATCACAATGGTGTCACTTTAAGCGTGCTTGAAGGTATGATGAATCCCTTGGGGCTACTGGGCTATTCAAAATTTTATAAGTTATGCAAGAGCCATTCGATGCTGTGTTTGTGTTTTTTAACATTTGTCAAAAAATATTTTCGAATCGTTTCAAGGAGACTAGATTATATAAGTTGTGCCAGTTTGCGAAATGTACCCAGTTTCCTCTCTTTGTGGGAACTCAACACGACACAGTATAGATTTATGACGCTGGTAAATGGCTTATTTGTACTCTATCACCACTGCTGTACCTCTAATTCTCGCCCGCCTCGACTAGCTCCTGCTATTTCCGGGCGTGAACGGTCTTCATGAACAAGAAAGTGTAAATTAGATCAATAATAATTAGATTAATCAAATTAATTAGATTAATTTGTCATTTGTCATTTCCTATTAAGCTTTCTTCTTATTAAGCTTCAATAAACTTCAAACTTCAAACTTTTCCGACTTCAGCGGATTCCAAGCCAGAGTACTAAAAAATGTTTGTTTTGTTGTTATTATTTAACTGTTCTCAAGCACCAACCCTGTTTCTACTCAATGGACAGTAGCACTTCCCTTGTCTAAGGGTGTCTCCTAATATGTTGTGTTCCATTGCACTTTGAATGCAAAAAAAAATCTGACTACTAGCGGATAACAGATAAATCTTTAGTTTCTCCGAGGACGGACGGTGCTGTTTATGGTATCAGCACTGGTTTGATTGTAGTACCTTCTTATGAAAATAGGTACCCAAAAAGTACAAGTGTGTGATCAAGGGACACGAGCCGATGATAATAGTGAGGGATACCACAGGTATCCTTCTCAAAGACTCGTAATTGTACGCGAAGATTTTACTTCCAATTACCAAGTACTGCCGCACTACTGCTTTCTCGAAAATGCCCCCGAGGTGGTAGTCACTTTCTAAATATTGGGAACCAGCCGTTATTTATCGCCTGGGAGTAAGGGGATTGGAGGCTATTTTTTTTAGGGGAGGATAACATGGTTTTTCGAGGGAATGAAGCGGGGGTCATTCCTCGCAGAGTACAAGGGAGCAACTATACACAATTGACTATCAATTAATTGCCAGTTAGGGGGATCATAAGAATGTAACAGTCTTATAGGAAGTTCAAATTTATTTTGTCGTGTGGCTAACATTGCCAATAACTAATGCCTTTTCCTAAACAAAAATTGCAAGTGAACGACGTAGTACGAGTGTCTTATATGGTGCTTTTTAATGCAATTATCAACTGCATATACAGTTTAGCAGGAACTTCCATACAGCATCCGAAACGACTAACGTTGGTAACTAGGCAAGGAAAATAATAAACACTGAGTGCAAAACTCTTGCTACAGGCCAYMWWTTT